TAAGAGACCTTCCTATGTGATCATGAAGCAACATATACACACATTTTTCATAAAAGATATCTTAATATAGGCTGTTTATTTGTCTGTCTCCTCCCCAAGGCTGTGATTTCCTCAACAGCAGGGACCTATCTCAGTGTCTTTGTATTCCCAGTGCCTGACACACGGTAGTCATTCAATAAATGTTTGCTGGAAAAAAAATGAATGACGCTAGAACTTTTAAATGCATATTTAATGCTGCATATCATAATGATTGTGCTATACAATAATCAGGTATAAATGGCAAACAGTTAATGTAGAGATTACTTTTATACACCCAAACCTAGTATTTCTGAAGTTCTGGGACTGGGGTGGGGAATAGTAAAAAGACACTCAGACATCCAGAAAGAGCCTTTTCAGACACTGCTCTGAAGACTCCTAGGTCCACAGATCCGAAGATTCAGGTCTTTCTACTTCTCTGGAAGGGAGAACTCATTCCTGCAACAGGGTACCCAGAAGCCACGTCTTTACCTCAGTGCATAATAGCCTGTCCCTCGACCCACCCTGCTCCTCTGTGAATCAAAACATTTCCACCATATCAGTGTGTTTAATTCACAGAATCTCAGCAGCATAAAGAAAACACCACTCACTTTGGTTATAAAGTGGCATGTGGTTTGGCTTCTGGTGTGGAAACTAGGGAAGTCAACCCAGCCTTTGGCACATCCCACTCTTTCAGGTCTATCCTGCCCCGCAGTCCTGGCACTCTCCTCACTGGGGCCAACGCTGGTTCTCCACGCCTACTTTGCCCCCACCCCTCCCCCTCCCCCTCCTCGCCACTCCCAGCTTCATATGCGTGGCCTCTAGGCTTCCTCGCCCTGTACTTGGCCTAATGAGAGCCCTTGGAATCATTCATTTCCCACTCATTCCAACCACGATACATGGAGCACTTACTGTGCATCAGGACCTGTTCTAGGTGCTGGGGCAGTTAAAAGGAAAAACAAGCCCTGGTCCCTGCCCTTGAGGAGCTCACAGTCTAGTGGGAGAGACGAATATAAACAACAATTACAAAACAGTGTGATAAAGGCTACAGTAGATATTATAGCTGCCTCTTTCCGGAGGCAGAGAGGGAGACTTAACCTTGGAAGGGGACCTACGAGCAGGACCTTGAACCCTGAGTTGGTGTTTGCCAGCTACCAAGAGGGGAAAAGGTATTCCAAGCCTGGGAAGCAGCTGATACACAAGAGCATTGGTGTGTCTAGGGAAGAGGCAAGACCACCCCTGTCAGACTTCTCCCTGTAGAGTGGGAGTCTGAGAATCCAACTGCCCTGAGCCTGGAGCCCCTCCATAGTGCTGCTGGATTCAGTCTGGACCATGGTGCCTCTTCCCACAAGTCCTAAGATTCTTCACCCACCAGAGACTACTAATACCTACTCAGAAATATTGATACAATCCATCTAGCCCATAGGTGAATCCTGAATATTCTCCTTTCTGTCTTCTTTTGTAAAAGTTGTAGTTAAAAGTTTTCTCTTTTCCTTTACTTTTAAAACTTAATCTGGGGGGCTTCCCTCGTGGCGCAGAGGTTAAGAATCTGCCTGCCAATGCAGGGAACACAGGTTCGAGCCCTGGTCCCGGAAGATGCCACATGCTGTGGAGCAACTAAGCCTGTGTGCCACAACTACTGAGCCTGCGCTCTAGAGCCTTCGAGCCACAGCTACTGAGCTCATGTGCCACAACTACTGAGCCTGCGCTCTAGAGCCTTTGAGCCACAGCTACTGAGCTCACGTGCCACAACTACTGAAGCCCGCGTGCCTAGAGCCCGTGCTCCGCAGCTAGAGAAGCTACGACAATGAGAAGCCCGCGCACCGCAACGAAGAGTAGCCCCCACTCACCGCAACTAGAGAAAGCCCATGCACAGCAACGAAGACCCAATACAGCCAAAAATAAAAATAAATAAATAAATAAATTTATTTAAAAAAAAAAGGTGAAAATCCTAACTTCTTTCTCTTTGTGGACATTTGGGAATGCTTCTAAGTTTTCAATATTATAAACAATGCTCTAGTAAATATTCATATATATATTCTTTGTTAAAGCAGTTGTGAGAGATTTTGGTAGGAAAATTCCTAGAGATGGAAATTCTAGGCCAAAAATATTAAAGTTTTTAGTTTTGATGCTGCCAATTACTCTTCCAAATTACTGTACTAGTTTATCTGAGCCAAAATATATGGGCCCATCTTTTCGTCCTTCCAAAACTAGACTACATCACTTCTTTTTCATCTGTGCCAGCCTGATTGATAAAGAAATACAGCATTGTTTTAATTTGTATTTCTTTAATAATGATTGAATTTGAGCATTGCTTTGTCTTTACTGGTCATATTCTTTGTACTTTTTTTTTCCAACAGAAACATTTTTTTAATTGAAGTACAGTTGATTTACAATGTGCTAATTTCTGCTGTACATCAAAATGACTCAGTTATACACATATATATATGTACATTCTTTTTTTTACATTCTTTCCCATTATGGTTTATCCCAAGAGATTGGATATAGTTCCCTGTGCTATACAGTAGAACCTTGTTTATCCATTCCATATGTAATATCCAAACATATGTAATAGTTTGCATCTACTAATCCCAAACTCCCAGTCCATCCCTCTCTCCACCCACCCCAATTGGTAACCACAGGTCTGTTCTCTATGTCTATGAGTCTGTTTCTGTTTTGTAGATAAGTTCATTTGTCTTTGCACTTTTTTTTTTTTTCTGCAGTACGCGGGCCTCTCACTATTGTGGCCTCTCCCGTTGCGGAGCACAGGCTCCGGACACGCAGGCTCAGCGGCCATGGCTCACGGGCCCAGCCACTCCGTGGCATGTGGGATCTTCCAGGACCGGGGCACGAACCCGTGTCCCCTGCCTCGGCAGGCGGACTCTCAACCACTGCACCACCAGGGAAGCCCCTTTGCACTTTATTTATTTATTTATTGATTGATTGATTGATTGATTGATTGGTTGGTTGGGTGTTCGTTGCTGCGCACGGGCTTTCTCTAGTTGTGGCGAGCGGGGGCCACTCTGTTGCAGTGTGCGGGCTTCTCATTGCGGTGGCTTCTCTTGTTGCAGAGCATGGGCTCTAGGCGCGTGGGCTCAGTAGTTGTGGCTTGCGGGCTCTAGAGCACAGGCTCGGTAGTTGTGGCGCGTGGGCTTAGTTGCTCCATGGCATGTGGGATCTTCCCGGACCAGGGCTCGAACCTGTGTCCCCTGCTTTGGCAGGCAGATTCTTAACCACTGCGCCCCAGGGAAGTCCTGCTTCCCTTTTCTTAAAAAGTCATGTTTGCCACTTGGCTGGAGGAGCCCAGGGGCAGGGTGCCTTGTGGGATAACCACACCATAAGAGCAGCTTCCCTGAGGGCTTTTCATGAGCTTCTTACAGAAGCCTGAGGGCTCCACTCCTGTGTGATGCCACCCTGTATGGCAAACAGGCTGACACTCCAACATATAAAAGGGACATGGGCTTGGAACTCTGAATCTTCCTCATACTAGGATTGTGGCCCTAGTCAAAAGACCAAAGCCACAAATGTGGGTTCCTAGTTACTACTTACTACCAGGACAAAGTTGAATAGGACAGCAGTTAAACTTTTCATCCAGGACACAGTGTACCTGGTGAGCCATCTCCCTTGCTCCCAACCCAAAGCTTTACAAAAGAAAGGGAGGCTACTTACTGACACCCGAGCTGACAAGCACCCTGCCATCTGAGCATACACTTCCAGAGGAGAGAGCTCCACACCAGACCCAAGCCGCAGCCAACCTCAAGATGTGGATACAGCGATAGCACCCCACTGCTGGCTAGAGATCAGGGTTGAGTGCATGGCCAGAGAGCTTAAGCAATAACAGCAGCTTAAAACGGATGCAGGGGAAATAAAAGAGAGAAGTTCCTGACCCAGTAAAAGGTCTTATTCACTACAACCAGGGATAGAGAAGAAAAGCAAACCCATTTCTCTATTACAACAGATTACAGAACCATAAGCCTTGAGGAAGATCATAGAAAATCCTTCACATATACACCTCTCACCTCTCACCTCTACAGACCCAACCTCCTCGTTTTCTCAGAGCACAGAATGCCTCATTCCAGATCTCTGCTCTGAACTCCTATCAGGGTGTGTTGAGAAGGTCAGCGACTGCAGTGGCTAATCACCCAATCCTTGTAGAGCTGGATGGCGAGTGACATTCTTTAGGTAACAATTATACGGCTGACCTTGTGTTCAGTGGCCCCACAAAGGTGGGAGAAAGCTTCTCATCCGATTGGTTACACCTCTAGGTGATGCACATTGACTCTAATCTTGTCACTTGTTTCTAGGGCCAGCAGAAGAAATTTTGGAAAATGCAGAAACGTAAGAGTAACCTCTTTCATTTCTAAAAGTATTGGTTGGGCAGCAAAACTCCTTTCCTTCTGTATAATTGTTACCTGAAGAATGTCACTCACCATCCAGCTCTACAAGAATTGGGTGATTAGCCAATGCAGTTGCTGACCTTCAACACACCCTGACAGGAGTTCAGAGCAGAGATCAGGAATGAGGCACTCTGGGCTCTGGGAAAACTGGCAGAACACGGCTTCAGATAGTTAGATATTTTCAGGAGAAAATTTTATAAATCCAATTTCTTGCATCTTTCCACACTTAGAAAAGCACTAAAATCATTAAGATATCTGTTCCTCATGACCAACAGCAACCTTCTACCGAGATGTGTGCTTGACTGCATGTACCCCTTTCTCCAAAATCACATATATGCCTGCTGACCTCCCCGGCTACCCCTTTGGAGCAGTTCCTCAGAGCTATTAGAGAGGCTGTCTCCTGGGCTTCAGTCCTCAGTAAGTCCCCAAATAAAACTGAAACTCACAGCTCTCACGTTGTGCATTTTTATTTCAGTTGACAAATCATTAGGAAAAGGACTGAGGTTTATGCCTTCAACAGGCTAAGGAATCGACAACATGCCCCAGAAAGACTGAGTAGCTATAAGGAGAAAAAAAAAAATCCCACACCTGCTGTTAAAAACAAAAACGAATCAAAAAAGAAGGTATCAACTGGAAAAAGCTGCCCTGCTTCACTCTCCTGTGTGGAGGTGAGGAAGTGGAGTGGAAGGAGATGGGAGGAAGGGCAGCTCTGGGGCTTAGACGTTTTATTTGTATTTTGTTTCATTTTTAAAATCACCAAGTTCTTCCTTCTGCTGTGTATCCTCCTGCAAAGTTTGTAAAAACACTCATCATTATCTCCTTGTTATCCTCAGAAATGCTTGGAATGTAGGCACGTAAAAAAAAAAAAAAAAGCAGCAGTAGGTGCTTGCAAGTTAGGCGATTTGCCAAGGGCACATAGTTAAAGAAGTGATTAATAAACATTCTCTGGCTGACTCCTGAATAAATCATGTTTCAGACCCTGAGTCCTCTACTGAGATAGGTCTTCAAGCAGGGTGAGGGGGAAGCAACGATAGATCAAGGAAATAAGACTGGAATTTTTCATAAACCAGGCCCAGACTACCCACACACATCTTGACCAAGCTGAGCTTCTTGGGTTCAGCGGTGAGAAGAGAGGCTGGTTGAGGACTGCAGGCCTAGCTAATCTAGGCCCAGGAATTCAAAATGGAACACAATTATTTTGCCCCTCACTAAAAACGATGCTCCTGCAACCTATTCTTCCCAAATCACTGTATTTTTCCTCTTTACGTATCCCTCCATCCTCCGCATACCCCTTCACAAGAAAAATAATTCTACTCCAAAACTCTCTTCCTGCATTGTATTCTTCCTCTTTGCTTTTAAGACAATATATGTAAGGCTTCTGCAGGACTATGCCTTGCCCTTGTCATGGGAAAGGTTAAAGTGTACACAGCCACTAGTCCAATTAGAGCGGAGAAAACTAATCAGCATTACTCTTCTCCCCAGCCAGTCTGCCCCTTATCGGTTTTCTTCCTACACTCTCTAGACGCATTTCCAATGCACCTCCAATTCTGTGATGGGTTAAGGGCAGCTTGAGTTAGGACCACAGCATAGTGTGATCCTCCTTTCCGTGGAGTCACATGCTAATATTCCAAATTTGAAACTTGAAAGGAAAGACAATCAATTCTAAATGAAACCTGCAAATCATCTCCTTTTTGATGATCTTAGAAATAAACAAAAACCATGACGCATTTTTACAAACTTTTATACAAAGCAGCCCTTTTAAGTTAATTTTAATATATCCAACAAATAATTAAGTATCTACTATGTTCCGGGCGTAAGTATAGAAGGAATGGCCAAAGGAGGTATTTTAGGAGATTCAAATTATAATGAATTATGCCACTTATTAACTTGGTCACTTAATATCTGAGGATGAGCAAATCAAATATTGATAATGGCTGCAGAAGGATACAGATACTCATACAATAATCTTCCTTCCATTCTAGAATAAAAGGGCTGGGGAAGGGTGGTGGGAATTATTTTGTTCAGGGACAATGGCATCCTAAGTAACTCATATGGATGTGCGTGTGAACATCAGAACAGGATTGGAACTTTATAATAACCATTAAGGACTATGGATTCAATCAACTAGTTTCAGGAAAAGCAAAGAAGAATGCAGTCATATGACATAATCAGATTTAGTCACTTTACCTGGGCTTTATCAACTCCATCAAGCACCCCAAAAAGTATCTGGGGCAACATGAGTTGGGTGCAATCCCAAATAATCAGATCTTTGATTTGCAAACATGATGTGGCTTAATAATCAAAACAGAGAACTAGGCTTATTCAAATATCTAAAATAATTCCATTTAACAGGTTTAACAACATGCAACACACACCCTCCAGTTGGCAGACACACCTGTCAATTACAAAACAGGTAGCAAATACTAAACACTTCCACAAATCATTTACAGTTAATGACTACAGCTAACCCTTGGAGGAAAACTCAGAATGGAACTGAACCTCAACACTAGACTTGTTTTTTAGAAAATGTTAAGTATGAACTTCACTGAGTTCCAGGATCAGATCAAAACCAGAAGCTGTGCTGAATTAAGAAAGACACTGGCCCATGGGACTTCCCTGGTGGTGCAGTGGTTAAGAATCCGCCTGCCAATGCAGAGGACACGGCTTCGAGCCCTGGTTCGGGAAGATCCCACATGCCGCAGAGCAACTAAGCCCGGGCGCCACAACTACTGAGCCTGTGCTCTAGAGCCCGTGAGCCACAACTACTGAGCCCATGTGCCACAGCTACTGAACCCCATGGGCCTACAGCCCGTGCTCTGCAACAAGAGAAGCCACCGCAATGAGAAGCCCGCACACCACAATGAGGAGTAGCCCCCGCTTGCTGCAACTAGAGAAAGCCCGCACGCCACAATGAAGACCCAATGCGGCCAAAAAGAAAAGGAAAAAAAAAAGAAAAGACACTGGCCCATGGGACTTCCCTGGTGGCACAGGGGTTAAGAATCCGCCTGCCAATGCAGAGGACACGGGTTTGGGCCCTGGTCCGGGAAGATCCCACATGCTGTGGAGCAACTAGGCCCATGCACCACAACTACTGAAGCCCGCGTGCCTACAGCCCATGCTCCGCAAAAAGAGAAGCCACTGCAATGAGAAGCCCACGCACTGCAACAAAGAGTAGCCCCTGCTCACAGCAACTACAGAAAGCCCATGTGCAGCAACAAAGACCCAACACAGCCAAAAAAATAAATAAATAAATAAAACAGACACTGGAGGAGAGATTCGTTCAAGATGGCAGAGTAGAAGGACGTGCACTCACTCCCTCTAGCGAGAGCACCAGAATCACAACTAACTGCTGAACAATCATCAACAGGAAGACACTGGAACTCACCAAAAAAGATACCCCACATCCAAAGACAAAGGAGAAGCCACAATGAGATGGTAGGAGGGGCACAATCACAATAAAATCAAATCCTGTAACTGCTGGGTGGGTGACTCACAAACTGGAGAACACTTATACCACAGAAGTCCACCCACTGTAGTGAAGGTTCTGGGTCCCATGTCAGCCTGCCCAACTTGGGGGTCTGGCAACCGGAGGAGGAATTCCTAGAGAATCAGACTTTGAAGGCTAGCGGGACTTGACTGCAGGACTTCAACAGGACTGGGGGAAACAGAGACTCCACTCTTGGAGGGCACACACAAAGCAGTGTGCACATCAGGACCCAAGGGAAGGAGCAGTGACCCCATAGGAGACTGAACCAGACCTACTTGCTAGTGTTGGAGGGTCTCCTGCAGAGGCGGGGGGTGGCTGTGGATCACCATGGGGACAAGGACACTGGCAGCAGAAGTTCTGGGAAGTACTCCTTGGTGTGAGCCCTCCCAGAGTCTGCCATTAGCCCCACCAAAGAGCTGGGCAGGCTCCAATGTTGGGCTGCCTCAGGCCAAAGAACCAACAGGGAGGGAACCCAGCCCCACCAATCAGCAGACAAGCAGATTAAAGTTTTACTGAGCTCTGCCCACAAGAGCAACACCCAGCTCTACCCACCACCAGTCCCTCCCATCAGGAAGCTTGCACAAGCCTCTTAGATAGCCTCATCCACCAGAGGGCAGACAGCAGAAGCAAGAAGAACTACAATTCTGCTGCCTGTGGAAGGAAAACCACATTCACAGAAAGATAGACAAAATGAAAAGGCAGAGGGCTATTTACCAGATGAAGGAACAAGATAAAACCCCAGAAAACAACTAAATGAAGTGCAGATAGGCAACCTTCCAGAAAAAGAATTCAGAATAATGATAGTGAAGATGATCCAGGAACTCGGAAAAAGAATGGAGGCAAAATCAAGAAGATGCAACAAATGTTTAATAAAGACCTAGAAGAATTAAGAACAAACAAACAGAGATGAGCAATACAATAACTAAAATGAAAAATACACTAGAAGGAATCAGTAGCAGAATAAGTGAGGCAGAAGAATGGATAAGTGACCTGGAAGACAAAATGGTAGAATTCACTGCCATGGAACAGAATAAAGAAAAAAGAATGAAAAAAAAATGAAGACAGGGCTTCCCTGGTGGCGCAGTGGTTGAGAGTCCGCCTGCCAATGCAGGGGACACGGGTTCGTGCCCTGGTCTGGGAAGATCCCACATGCTGAGGAGCGGCTGAGCCAGTGAGCCATGGCCGCTGAGCCTGCACGTCTGGAGACTGTGCTCCGCAACAGGAGTGGTCACAACAGTGAGAGGCCCGCGTACCACAAAAAAAAACAAAAAAAAAGACAGCCTAAGAGACCTCTGGGACAACATTATACACAACAACATTCGCATTATAGGGGTCCCAGAAGGAGAAGAGAGAGAGAAATGGCCCAAGAAAATATTTGAAGAGATTATAGTTGAAAACTCCCCTAACATGGGAAAGGAAATAGCCACCCAAGTCCAGGAAGCGCAGACAGTCCCAGGCAGGATAAACCAAAGGAGAAACACGCCAAGACACATAGTAATCAAAGTGACAAAAATTAAAGACAAAGAACAATTATGAAAAGCAACAAGGGAAAAATGACAAATAATATACAGAGGAACTCCCATAAGGTTAACAGGTGATTTCTCAGCAGAAACTCTACAAGCCAGAAGGGAGTGGCACAATATATTTAAAGTGATGAAAGGGAAGAACCTACAACCAAGATTACACTACCCAGCAAGGATCTCATTCAGATTCGATGGAGAAATCAAAGACTTTACAGACAGGCAAAAGCTAAGGGAATTCAGCACCACCAAACCAGCTCTACAACAAATGCTAAAGGGACTTCTCTAAGTGGGAAACACAAGAGAAGAAAAGGACCTACAAAAACAAACCCAAAACAATTAAGAAAATGGCCATAGAAACATACATATCGATAATTACCTTAAACGTGAATGGATTAAATGCTCCAACCAAAAGACACAGGCTCGCTGAATGGATACAAAAACAAGACCCATATATACGCTGTCTACAAGAGACCTACTTCAGGCCTAGGGATACATACAGACTGAAAGTGAGGGGATGGAAAAAGATATTCCATGCAAATGGAAATCAAAAGAAAGCTGGAGGGGCTTCCCTGGTGGCACAGTGGTTAAGAATCCGCCTGCCAATGATGGGGACATGGGTTCGAGCCCTGGCCCAGGAAGATCCCACATACCGTGGAGCAACTAAGCCTGTGCTCCACAACTACTGAGCCTGCGCTCTACAGCCCACGAGAAACAGCTACTGAGCCTGCATGCCACAACTACTGAAGCCCATGCGCCTAGAGCCCGTACTCCACAA